GTTCAATTCCTGGCACCAAAAAATAAATAAATAAATAAAGAAAGAAAGAAAGAAAGAAAGAAAGAAAGAAAGAAAGAAAGAAGCAGAATGTGATTGGGGTTGTTTCTGAATCTTCTATTCTGTTCCATTAAGGCTTGGTGTTTGTTTGTTTGTTTGTTTGTTTTTGCCAGTACTATGCTATTTTTATCATGTAGCTTTGTAGTATAATTTCACATTAGGGATTGTGATACCCCCTGTCTTACCTTTGTTGCCCAGAATTGCTATTGCTATTCTAGATCTCTTCTGGATCTAGATGAATTTTAGGATTGTTTTTTCTAGTTCTGTGAGGTATGCTATTGGTGCTTTGATTGGGATTGCATTGAATATGTATACCAATTTTGGAAGTATGGCCATTTTCACTATCTTGGTTCTGTCTATCCAAGTACAGGAGATATGAGGCCAGGTATGGCGATGCATGCCTGTAATTGGAGCCCCCTGTGGCAGAGATGTGTGTGTGTGTGCGTGTGTGTGTGCGTGTGCACATGATGTGTCAGGAGGGTTGCTGCAAGTTTGAGTTTGAGGCCAGCCTGGGTTACACAGTGAGTTCAAGAACTGGCTGAACTACATAGCAAGACCCTGTCTCAAGAACAAGCAAAAATCCAGGGGGCATCCTTCCTTTTTTTTTTTTTTTTTTTTTAGGTCTTCTCTAAAGTTCTTGTAGAATTCATCAGTGAATCCATCAGGACCTGGACTTTTTTTTTTTTTTTTTTTTAAAGAAAATAGTACAAAAAAAGAACAATAGCAAAATGCAAACAGGTAGTTTTTATATTGTTTCTTCAATTTCATTGACTGATATTGGGTGATTTAGAATTTGTATATCTTCCTGATTCATCTTCAATAATTCATGTATTTAGGTATCTGTCCATTTTTTCTGAATGTTCCATCTTGTTAAAGTACAGGTTCTCAAAGCAGGTATTGATGATCCTCTGGATTTCTGCAGGATCCATTATGATTTCATCCTTTTCATTCCTAATTTCATGGATTTGGGTCTTTCTTTTTTTTTTTTTGGTTAAGGTTGGCCAAGGTTTTGTTAGTTTTATTTAATTGTTCAAAGAACCAATTCTTTGGTTCATCAGTTCTTTGTATTGTTTTCTTAGTCTCAGTTGCTCTAACCTCTGTAATTTCCTCCGTCATACATGCTCTGGGTTTACCTTGCTTTTCTTTTTTTTACAAGCTTGAGGTCCAACATTAGGTTATTTATTTGAGCTCACTCTGTTTTTCTGATGTGGGAATTCATTGCTTTAAGTTTCCCTCATGGACTGCTTTCACTGCATCTTAAATTTCAGGTATGTCATGTTGGCATTATTGTTTAATTGTAGAAACTGATTTCTTCTTTAATTTCATCTTTCTTTTTTTTTTTTTTTTTTTTTTATTTTAAGGATAAAAGGAGGGAAACATTAACAGACATACAACATTTTACAACATATCACAAGCACAATACAGACAATACAGAGTTACAAACAAAGTGGTAGGGAATTAACAATGGTGGTTGTATTACATATTGATATCTTCAAAGTGGCTTCTCATTTTAATTTCATCTTTGACCCACTGGTTGTTCAGAAGTGTGTTATTTAATTTCCATGTGTTTATGTAGTTTTTGTGGTTTCTTTTGCCATTGATTTTCAGTTTCATTGCACTATGGTCTGGTAATATGCATGGTATAATCTCAATTCCTCTGCATTTACTTAAGGATATTCTGTGAACTAGTATATGTTCTATTTTGGAGAATGTCCCATATGCAGCTGAAAAGAATGTGTATCCAGTTGTGTGGGGTGGGACATTGTAGATATGTACTAAGTCCATTTGTTCAAAGGTTTGATTCAGTTCTGAAATTTCTTTGTTGATTTTTTTTTTTGTCTAGTTGATCAGTTTGTGGCAATGAGGTATTGAGGTCCTCCATTACAATTGTATTAGTGCTTATCTGACTTTTCAGTCTGTGACTTTTAGTCTGTGATAGTTTTGACTTAAATATGTTTCTTGTATGCACATATTGTTGGACCTTGTTTCTTGATCCATTCTGCCAGTTTGTTTCCTTTGATTGGTGAATAGAAACCATTAATGCTGATGGTTATAACTGATATATATTGACTTACCATGTTATTTTCCTGTTGTTGGCTCCCTTAATCCCCTCCTCTGTTAATTATTTGCCTTTCCTGGTGGATTCATTCTGTTGGGGTTCATAGAGTTGTGGTTCTCATTATGTCTTTTTTTTTTTTTTTTTTGGTTTTTCTCCTGTACCAGGAACCAAACTCACGACCTTGCGCTTGCCAGGCAGGCGCTTTTGCCGCTGAGATAAATCCCCAGCCCCCTCATTATGTCTTTCTAGAATGTGCTTTAGAACATTTTGGAGTGTTGGTATGGTGTTCATGAATTTCTTCAGGTATTCTTCATCATGGAAGTATTGTACTGCTTCATCATTTTTTTTTTTTTTTTTTTGAGACAGGGTCTTGCTATGTAGCCCAAAGTAGCCTTGAACTCACAGTGATCCTCTTGCTGCAGCTGGGATTACAGATGTGCACCACCACACCTGGCTTCTCCATCAATTTTGAAAGATATTTTGTTGGGTTGGATGCTGGTTTCTTTTAGGGCTTGAAAAACTTCACTCCAAGCTCTTCTTGAGAGTTTATGTTGAGAAGCCTGCTTTGATTCTGATGGGCTTTCCATTATAGATGATTTGTTTTTCTCTAACGGCTTTTAGTATTCTATTCTTTTGTTGTATTTCTGGAGTCTTGACTATTATTACATGCCTTGGTGTAGTTTTTTTTTTTTTTCTGATCATGACTATTTGGAGTTTTATATGCCTCACTTATATGTATCTCATTCTTTTTCTCTGCTTGGAGAGTTTTCTGTTATTCTGTGAATGGGCTTTTATGACCCTTGTGCTGTCTTCTTGATTCCAGTTAATCTCATAATAGTTGTCTTTGCATCATGTAGCAACTGTTGATTTTTTTTTTTTTTTTTTTTTGTGGTCACTTGCTATTTTCAAGAGGTTTTTCATTTTGAGGATCACCAACCACAAGCCTGTCTTCTAGATCTGATATTCTATCTTCACATTGATTGCCTCTGATTTTCAATATTTCTTTGTGTGTGTGTGTGTGTGTGTGTGTGTGTGTGTTTTGTTGTTGTTTTTTTTTTTCCGGTACCAGGAATTGAACTCACAACCTCGTGCTTGCCAGGCAGGTGCTGTGCCGCTGAGCCAAATCCCCAGCCCCCTGATTTTCAATATTTCTTACAGGCACAGCAGGTTTTCTGTAGGGAACTAGCAGGCGGTTGCAGTGACATGAGGGTTGAAGCGAAGTAGAGGAATGCCTTGAGTGCTAAGAGAGTGTGGCTGATTAACTGTGTTTGGCAGAAGGTGCAGTGTGGATCAGAGCTGGGTTTTAAGAAGGTTAATCTAGCCATTACTCTATCCATAGCTTGGTGGTAGAGCACTTGCCTTGGGTGTGAGGTTCTGGGGTTCATACCTGCCATCTCAAAAGAAAAAGAAGTTAATCTGGTAGCTCTGTGGACCTGGAGAAGGAGCTGTTTGGAGAGGAGGAGCAGTCAGGAGCCTATTACAGATGCATAGATAAGGAGTAATGAGACCTTGCTTCAAGATGGTAGCAAAAGGCAGACATGAGGGAAAAGCAGTGTGGACGTAAAGACCATGTGCCTTGGTGATTAGTGGTGACTGGGAAAAGGGAAGAAGTGAAAGATCACTGGAATAGGCTTAGCACAAAGTGGAAATGAAGAGTAGTCTGAGGAGGGAAACGATGAGCTATATTCTGGACATTGTATTGATTATATATTACTGCCTAGCAGATTATCATGGAATTGAACAGCTCAAGACAGCAAACACATACTACCTCTCAGTTACTGAGAGTCAGGAGCCTCAGAGCAGCTAAACTGTACATCCTCACATATGGTTAAGGTAAAATGTCAGCCATGCAGTTATCTGAGGCTTGACTGGGGCTGGAAGATTTGCTTCTAAAATATCTCATTTGCATAACTGTTACCTGGAGGCTGTAGTTTATTGGAGGCCATTAGCAGGAGACCTCCCTGGGCTGCTTGAGGATCCTTGCATAACTTGCTCTCCGTCAGCAGATCAGAAAGATATGAAGAGGCTGCAGTGCCTTTTATGACCAAGTCTTGGACATCACACATCATCTTTTTGCCACAATTTATTCATTTGAAATGGGTTACTAAATCTAGCTATTACTCTAAGGACATGTTAGACTTCTCATTTGGAAGAGAGCAGTGTTAAAGATTTGTGGACATTTGCTTTTGTTTTTTTGAGACAGACTCTAGCTATGCAGTTCAGGCTGGTCTTGAGCTCTCTTTCTAGCCCAGGCTGATCTTGAACCCACAGTGATCCTCTTGCCTCAGCCTCCCAAGTGCTGGGATTACAGGTATGTGCCACCACACCCGACTTCATGTGGACATGTTTTAAAGCCATCATAGAGTGTGTTTTGAGGACAAATGGAGTGAGCATTTAATGCAAATATCCATAGGAATTAGAGCTCTAGAAAGCCACATTACCTCCTTGTGAAAGTAGGTAACAGCTGAAAATATTGAGGATGGAGAATTCTCAAGGCAGTTGCCTTTATTTAATTATCTCTCAACCAGTCTCAAAAATGGTCACTATGCCTTTTAGTTATTTAAACATTTTCCTCAAAGTTTCCACTTTTAGCCGGCCATAGTGGTGTATGCTTGCAATCCCAGAACTAGGGAGGCTGAGGCAGGAAGAGTGCTGAGAGGTCAAGGCCAGTCTGGGCCACATAATAAGTTCAAGACCAGCCTGAACTACCAAGTGAGATCTTGTCTTAAAAAAAAGTTTACAGTTTTAGTCTGTATTTTTTTTTTTTCTCCAAAGCTTCTCATTGTGGAAACATCCAGATTTACAAGAAAGTTGATGTATAATGAATGTCCATATGCCCATTATCTAGACGCAGTAATTGTAACATTTTTGTCTTATTAGGTTCATCTGTTGGTCTTTTTCCAAGCCTTTTATCAGGCAGTGTTCCTTTGTATAGAAGTTTTCTCTGGACCTTGGAATAAAATATAGATCTTCTCAAAAAGGTAGGGCACAGGCTTAACTCTTAACTATTACACCTTAATTACCAAGTTTCAGAGGGAGGAACTTATATAATCATTTGCAATGCTGCCAAAGAAATTCTAAATTTTTCTTTTTTGTGGGGAAGGCTCATAGTCTAAAGGGTGAAAACATAGGTAGTTTGTTATGTATTGTCAGAAACACCTAGAGATTGAACCATTTATCATACCTACCGCAGCTGTTTGGAGTCTCTGCAGCCGTGCAAAAGTGTGTGTTGTCAAGTAGTGAATTTGCTACACGAGAAATGGTACAAATGGGGTTGAGCATCTTTTTGTAAGAGCTGTTTACCTTTTAAAATTCTGTCTGAGTCTTCTGCTTGTTTTTCTAATGGAGTTTCGGTCTCTGTCTCACTCTAAGCATTCTACCCATATAGTAGGGAAATTAGCCCCTTGTTCCTAATATAATTTGAAAACGACTTTTTCTATTGTTAGCTGGTTGGGCCAGGCTGGTCTGGAGCTGCTGAGCCGGTGGCAGGCGTCCTCCAAATTACCAGCAGGCAGCTGGCATCAGTAACCTGTGGCACGCATGTGCGGTGGAGTTCAGGTGCCCCGGCTACAGGCGGCTTTCAAAGCAATCTTAACAAGTGACTCTGTGGTGTGGACCCTTTGGGCGACAGTCTACACCGGTGACCGTAGATGAATTACTGCTACCTGAGGCTGCAGGGTTGCAGAAGGCCCGCATGCTAGATTCTCACCCATGCTGCCAGCTTCCACAGGGGCCAGAAGTTACAGCAGAGCCTCCTCCCCCTGCAGTGCCCCTCCAGAACTCTGCACTGAGAAAGCTCACCAGGGACCTCGCTTCCAGTACGTGGCCATGAACTGCTGTGTTTATCACAGAACCTATACCGAAGGGCACATTCAAAGTTGAGAGGCAGTAGTTTGGCAAATGACACTGGTCCCTTGACCTGTCTACTCCGGTGCTGATTCTCTTTGTTTATTATTGGAGATCCACATGTATTTGAATATCTGTTAATACTAGCCCTGTTCACTGATCTCCTTGAAGGTTTATCTGGCTATTCTAGATCATTCTCACTTTCAGATAAGCTTGTCTAGTTCTAGAAAAACATACTGGTTGGCATGTGATATGTTTCTGCATGTTCTAATCTTAAAGGGTATTTAATCAGAAATTCTCACATTCAAACTCTTGCAGTTAACAACAACAAAGTAATAAAGAACTGAATGAAGTAGAAAATGAGAGTTCCAGGCCTTACATTCCCACCCCTCTGTGATTAATATTTTCATATATATCTCTCTTTTATATATCTTTATGAATACATTTGCAATACCATACCAGTGTGTGCATTTTAGAAGCAAAAATATTTGAACGCTTTTTTCATAATTGCTCCTGTAGCTCTGACTTAACAATGTCTTTTATTTTTCCTTATAGCCACCACTCCAGCCTGTGAGTTTTTGAGAACATTGTAATGTCTCTTTGTGCCCCTTCTTGCAAGGAGTTCTCTCAGCTGTTACCTGTTCAAGACATGGATATCAAAAACTCACCGCCCAGCCTTAACTCTCCTGCCTCCTACAACTGCAGTCCGTCCGTTCTCCCCCTGGAGCATGGCCCTATATATATCCCTTCCTCCTATGTGGACAGTCGCCATGAATACTCAGCCATGACGTTCTATAGCCCTGCTGTAATGAATTACAGCATCCCCAGCAGTGTCAGTAACTCGGAAGGTGGGCCTGGTCGACAGGCCACAAGCCCGAATGTGCTATGGCCAGCTCCGGGGCACCTTTCTCCTTTGGCAATCCACTGCCAGTCGTCGCTTCTGTACGCAGAGCCTCAGAAGAGTCCTTGGTGTGAAGCAAGATCACTAGAGCACACCTTACCTGTAAACAGGTAAATCCAGTCTTCATTCTGAACTATAGCTCACGGCCATTGTTCAACTCGCTTTGATTTAGTGAGAAGATGTGTGTTATACAAGGTGTATATTAATCAGCCAGATTGCTTTGAGCACCTAGGACATATGCCATTCTCATTAAAATGTTATGCTTGGGCCGGGCGTGGTGGCTCGTGCCTGTAATCCCAGCACTCAGGAGGCTGAGGCAGGAGGATCGTTGCGAGTTTAAGACCAGCCTGGGCTACAAAGTGAGCTCAAGGCCAGCCTGAACTGTACAGCGAGGCCTTGTCTCAAAAAGACCAAAAATAAATAAATAAATAAAAAATAAAATGTTATGCTTATATTTGGGTGTTGTAGGAAGAATTCACTATCATGACTACTGTCTTTACACAATAAATATTGAACTTGAATCAGTTGGATATTGCTGAAGGTACTATATTTGGGTTTGAAAAATAAACTTTTTTCAGGTTAGAGTCTTAAGCCAGGTGTGTGTCTCAGGCCTATAATCCCATCACTAGGGAGGGTGAGGCAGGAGGATCACCGTGAGTTCGAGGCCAGCCTGCATTACAGAGTGAGACCCTGTCTCAAAAAAACAAAACAAAACCTGCCAAAAACAAAAAACAAAAAAAAACCCCAATCGGGTTAGAGTCTTACTAAAGTGAAATCATAATTTAGTGTCCATGACAAGTTGTTTCCAGGATAAAAACAATTGTGACAGTATTAAAATTTAAATGAAAAACCAGCCATATGAAACCTAAAATGGCAATTGGTATAAACTTTCAAAATAATGAACTGAAATAGCTTTTTGTAAAGATTGGTGGGAAGCTATTTAAATGTAGGCATCCATTGAAATTTCCTGAAATTCAAAAGAATATTTGAATACTTTGAATGCAAGGTAATATGATAGATTATTTCAGTCTAACTGTTATAATCTTAATATCTATGTGTATAGATGGGGTGAAGGGCACATAAACTACTGAGATAACCAGTGGAGTAAATTAGAGCATATTAGATATTAAAATTCCTTACTTGCAGATGTTTTCATAAAACTTTGAGAAGTGAGGGGCTCAGTAATAGAACCAGTGGTTGGCATTCATGAGACCCTGAGTTCAATCCCCAGCATACAAAAAACAAAACAAAACTTTGAGAAAATAAACAGTAGTTTAATTTGTCTTTTCATGTTTGGTTTCTTGAGACAGAGTCTTGCTTTGTAGCTCGGGCTGGCCTTGAACTAACTATGTAAGCTAGGGTGGCCTAAAACTTACTGCAGTCCTCTTGCCTCAGACTCCCATGTGCTGGGATTGCAAGCGTACGCCACCACACCCGGTTCATTTTTCTTTTTTAAAACTTTACTTACTTATGAATATGAATATTGTAGATAATGCTTAAAGTAATGTTGGGCTTCGGGTAGAGCAACTGCCTAGAACATACAAGGAAGGCCCTGGTTTTGATCCCTAGCAGCACAAAATAAATGAATAAATAAATGAACAAATGAATAAATAAGTAAGTATGTAAGTAAAAATTTTTAAAATGGGTAAAAGTAGTGTTTTTCAGCCAGGCGTAGGGGCTCACACCTGTAATCCCAGCACTCTGAGAGACGGAGGCAGGAAGATTATCAGTTCAAGCCCAGCACGACTTTAGCAAGACCCTGTGTCAAAAATAAAATAAAAAAAGCACTGGGCATGTATCTCAGAACGCAGGTCCTGAGTTCAGTCCCTGGTGCTGCAAAAAATAAAAACGTCTGAGCAAATTAAGCCGTAAGAAAATTGCCTTCATCTATAATTCAGTAATACCTCTATCATTCCCTGTCCATAGGAAATATCCCCTAGCAAAATTGGGGATCCCCCAGGTGTATTTTGGGGCCCCCTGCTGCTCTGGGCTTAGCTCTCCACTCCTCCCTGGAGCCCCTGTCCTCTTCCTTCAGCGCCCTGTGGGAATTCCCCAGTGCAGCAGATGAGCACAAGTGCGCCTAACCTCCTTGAGACATCAGTCATTCCCTTCAGACTGGTTCCCTGTAGATCTGATATCGGTCACAATGGCTTTGCTCTGTCATATTTCTTAAAATGCATTTGTTAGAGCACCGAAGGGCAAAAAGATTAAGTTAGACAATGTGTGGGTCATTTGTTGCCTTTCCCGTCTGTGTTTTCACACTGGGTATTTTCTTTGCCTCCCAGGGAGGTGCTGAAGAGGAAGATGAGCACAGGCAGTTGCGCCAGCCCCGTTACCAGCCCCACGTCGAAGCGGGACGCTCACTTCTGCGCAGTCTGCAGCGATTACGCGTCTGGCTATCACTATGGAGTCTGGTCGTGTGAAGGGTGTAAGGCCTTTTTTAAAAGAAGCATTCAAGGTAAAAGAGCTGCTCTCCTTCAAGTTAAGCATTCCATGCTATCCTTTCAAGTTCAGCTGCATCTTTAGTTTTCCGCTTTTGCTTTCAACAATTTAGCAGCGATGACTAGTAGAGATTTCACCACTGGCCTATCTGGTACACGTTGTGTATCTGACAGCAGGTCAGAGGAGCATGTATTTAGGGATGGATGAGACAGGTGGGGTGCTGGGTTGTCTCAAGCGCAGCGCTTTAATTGCATGTTTCTACCCCTGAACCTGAAGACTATACAGCCGAGTCCCCTATGCCCACCAGGGAATGGGGAGAAAGTGTATAGTTACAACCTTAGGACGATACCACTTGGGGAAAATGTGTACTTATTAGGAGCTGCAAAGATTATTTCTTGACTTAAGTTTAATGTGGGGCATGCTTCCCAGTCATGGCATGCTGGCTTCTCAGGGAAGGAAAATGTCCACATTTTATGCAAACGGTCATAAATCAGGAATTCAACTACAGGGGCCTTTGAGAAGTGATCTAGACACATCTTCCCCTAAAAACGCTCTTGTTTTCTGGTCTAGGATTAGACTGTTTTCCTAACCTCCAAATTCCTTCTGGACTAAGGTTTATTTTTTATTTCACCTCTTGAACCCGCTTCAAGTGCATGTCTGGCTTCAAGGCCAGTCTGCCAGGCTCCAGCAGGATTCCCTGCTACCTCTCCCTCCCTTGCCGGTCCTGCTGCCACTTTCCTATTGGTTTGCGTTCTTTCCTCGTAACTTTCCCCTCATAGCCCTCTCTCAGGCATTGTCCTGTCTCTCTGTCTGCTCCCTTCCCCATTCTACCAGAGCCTGGGACCCTTGTTCTTAACCGGTTAGAAGCAGCAACCTTACAGGAGCTTATAGTGTGCAAAGCACTGTATGATCATCATAACAGTATATTAGGCCAGGTCCAGTTCCCTGCTATCTCCTAGAGCAATTCAGATTTTCTGAGATGCAGAACTGAATTCTTGATGTGATTCTTGAGTTCTTTATCTTTCAGACTTTTACCTCTTAAGGAAATTTTGACCCGCTAAAACTGACTATATCTTTGAAAGAGACCTTTTTCTTCTGTTGCCGTAGGAATCATCTGGCTGCCTAAAATAGCTCTGAACCTTGAGACTGTAGCTGATAACGCTTGAAACTTAGTTTTTCTGATGTTGTTCCTTCCTACTGCATCAGCCAGAACAGTCAAATTATTATTTTTTTTTTGTTAGTGTATGTTTGCAGTGCATAATGATCAATTCCTCATGGGGAGTTGGCACCTGTGCTCGACACGTCTTAGTTCTTTATCATCCTTTTTCCTCTCCTCTCCCTCTACCTTTTGGTCCCTTTCCCTTTTGCAAAAGATCTGTCTCCCTGTTCCCTATTACCTATCTTTTATTTTACCCTTTATTAATATTTTAGATTTCTCACATAAGAGAAACCATGTGATATTTAAGCTTATGTATCTGATTTATCTCAGTAACAATATGGTCTCCAGGTGTATCCACTTACCTATAAATATTTAAGTTTGGGGACTGGGGATTTAGCTCAGCGGCATAGCACCTGCCTGGCAAGCACAATGTCGTGAGTTTGATTTCTGGTACTGGAAAAAAACAAAACAAACAAACAAACAAACAAAAACCAAATATTTAAGTTTATCCTTCTTTACAGCAGAGCAGTACCCCATTGTGTATAAATACTACATTGTCTTTACCTGTTCATTGGTTAATGGACATACAGGCTGCTTCCAAGTTTTAGCTATTAAGAATTGCACTACTATAAACATGGGTATCCATACACCACTTTGGTATATCTTAACTCTTTCAGGAAGATCCCTAGAAGGGGAACACTTGGGTCAAAGGAAATTTCTAGTTTTAAGTTTTTGGAGGCATCTCCATACTGATTTCCATAGTGATTGTACTAGTTTACAGGAATATCAAATTCTTTCTTTTAAATTTACTGATTTATTATTATTATTGGTTTCTTTTTTTTTATGTACGTGGTGCTGGGGATTGAACCCAGGGCCTTGTGTATGCAAGGCAAGGGCTCTACCACTGAGCCACATCACCAGCCCAGGAATATCAAATTGTAAATCTGCAAAAATGCAAGAGTTTCGGGGGCTGGGGATTTAGCTCAGTGGCAAAGTGCCTGCCTGGCAAGCGCAAGGTCGTGAGTTCGGTCCCCGGTACCGGAGAAAAACCAAAAAAAAAAAAAAAAAAATGCAAGAGTTTAATGCTCCCACAGTTGTATAATGTCTAAATGATCTTCTGTATAGGTTCTTTATATTTTTGGTATAAATACCTTGTAATAATTGAGATGGCCACCCAATTCCATTTATTCTTTGCTTATTTCTTCAGTGCTAGTGATCACCCCAGGGGCACTTTCCCACTGAGCTACATCCCTGGGTCTTTTTATTTTTTGTTTTGAAATAGGTTCTTTCTAAGTTGCTCAGGCAGAACTCAAACTTGCACTCTTCCTACTTCAGTGCTGGGATTATGGGCATGTTCCACCATGCTCGGCACCACTCGGTTCTTTATTTTAATTCTTTTAAAAAAAAATTCATAACAAAATTAGAGATTAATTACAGTTTATACACTATATCATTTTCCAAGTAGGTTCTCAGACAAAAAAGATTCTCTTACAAAGAAGAAACAGATAATAGCACAAAACTTTTCAGTGAGTTGGAGAAACTAGTAGTATAAATGAAACAAATTAGCGTATATCTTAAAACATTGTTGAAACAGCAAAGTAGATAATTTGGAGAACTGTTTGAACTTCTCCCTGCTTTCTATTTACCTGTCTGCTATTTTGCACTTGTGTGTGTATATATATTTTTGAATTTCTTATATAAGAGGAACCATGTAATATTTGAGCTTATATTTCTGACTGACTTCACTTAACATTATGTTCTCAAGTTGGATCCATTTTCCTATGAATGCCTCATTTATCTTCTTTTGGGGAGGGGTCTTTTTGAGACAGGGTCTCCCTGTGGAGTTCAGGCTGGCCTTTAGCTCACTTTGTAGCCCAGGCTGCTCTTAAACTCGCACCAATCCTCCTGCTGCAGCCTCCCAAGTGCTGGGATTACAGGCGTGTTCCCCCATGCCCAGCTAATCATTTATCATTCTTAATGTCAGAGTACAGTGGTACTTTGAATCACAAACTTGAGTCCATGATTCTGATCACAAACTGAATTGTGGGATAATGGAATCAAATTCAATGGTTAGGTTCAATGTTGACCTTGGGGGAAATTTGATTTGGTTCTCGTCCACTTTGTTTTGTGACTGGAACCGTAGAGGAAATTGAGTTTATGAACTGAGGCACCACTGTAGTACCTTATTGTATAAATACTACATTTTCCTTTTCTGTTCATCTGCTGATGGGCACACACACTGTTTCCAAGTTCTAGTTATTATAAATTGTGTTGCTATAGACATGAATGTGCCTGCATCTCTGTAACATGATTTTAACTCCCTATACCTAGAAGGAGGAATTTTTAGTTTTTTGAGGAATCCCCACACTGAATTTCATGGTAGTTGTACTAGTTACCATCCCTCCAACAATATGGAAAGAATTCCTTTTCCCCCTCATCCTCACTAGCATTTGTTATTATTAGATCTTTTGATGATAGCTATTTTTTGTGAGTTAAGATGGTATCTCAGTGTAGTTTTAATTTGCATTTCTCTAATGGCCAGTGGTGTTGAACATGTTTATATGCATTTATTGGCCATTTGTACTTCTGAGAATTATCTATTCATTTTGGCTGCCCACTTTTTGATTGGGTCTTTTATTCTGGGGAGCCTAATTTTTGTTTTATTTTTGTTTTTGAAACAGGATTTTGCTGTGTAGTTTGAGTTTACCTTGGACTCACTGTAGAGCCCAACCTGGCCTCAAACTGGACAATTCTCCTGCCTCAGCCTCCTGAGTTCTGGGATCCCAGGCATGCACCACTGCGCCCAGCTGGGGAGTCTTTTGTTATTGTTGTTATTGTTGGTCTTTATATGTTCTAAACGTTAGTCCATTGTATGAGGAAGAGCTGGCGAATTTTTTCCCCGCTCTGCAGGTTGTCTCTTCACTAGCTGTTGCCTTTGCTGTGCAGAAGCTTTTTAATTTGATGTGATCTCATTTTTTCTTCTTGGTGCTGTTTCTTGTGCCATTGAAAGTCTTTGCTTACGCCTATGTCTTCCAAGGGTGCACCTTTTTTGTCTTCCAGGAGATTGTTTCTATTTTAACGTTTAGATCTTCAAACCATTTTTATTTGATTTCATACATGGTGAGCTGTATAGCTCTACACTGTCTTTTGTGTGTGCAGATCCAGTTTTCCCAGCACCATTCATTAAAAAGGCTACAGACTCAGTTCTTTAGAATGGCCTCAGATAGGCCAGGATGGTTTGCTTTAACCTGGGAAATTGATTGCATTTGTGTGGTTTTATTTATTTATTTATTTTTTGGTTTTCCTCCGGTACCAGGAACCGAACTCACGACCTTGCACTTGCCAGGCAGTTGCTTTGCCGCTGAGCTAAATCCCCAGCCCCTTGTGTGGTTTTAAAAATTCATCATTAATAATTTTAAGCTTGCTTACCAGCTTGCTCTGTAAGCTGTTGGTCTGTATCTGACTGACATTTTTGTCCCCTTCATGGTACTAGCGCACTAGAAGCTGGGTGGTGCGGGTCATGGCACCAACACGGCTTTGTTGGCGTCCTCACGGTGAGCTGCCATCAGAGTGACGGATGAGCTTTTTCTCCCCTGGACTGTGAATCACAGAGGACGGGGACACTGGAGAGGCTCCTCATCCCTTCCGGTCCGGATGAAGGCATGGCTTAATATTTAAAGCTTGTCCTTTACTTTTTGTCCTCTTTAATATTGGAATTCACTTAGTACACATTTACTGAGCACTGTGCTAGGCTCTAGAATAAGGTTGTGAACAAGATGAGAAGTTGTGTGTTTTGATCACTACTGGCACACCAGCAGTTCTTTGCATGATGATTTTTTTTTTATGGTACCGGGAAT